GTCATTCTCTTTTAGTTACTTTCCTATTGTTCTAGGTTGAGACTTTTGATTGAAAAAAGGGTTGTGACCCTATTGAAATTCTATTGTAGTAGATGGTTATGAGACAATGTCTAGACTTCACTTTTAATTTTTAATAAAAAGACTTCGATTGTAAAATTTTAAATTCCGCATTATTTTCATTTCCTATGTGTATGATATGCTAAGGGCTTGTATGAGACCCCTTCGGGGTCAAGTACGTCGTGTTGCATCTAGGGAGTACCCCTGGGTCGTGACAATTTCACATATGATACCTCATCTAATCATAATATATCAATTCTATTTATATATTTACTCTCAAATTTAGTTCAAATTAAATATAAAAATTTATGAATTTCACAATTATATAGTATTTTCATGAAGTGTTGAATTGTCATATTCCATTAAATTTTGTTTGAAGTTTTTCATCTAGACTAGATGGACTTTTTTTTTGGCTAAAAGTGGCCGACAAACCCTTTATTAAAAAAAGAAAAGATACAAGAAAAAGGTTCGATCCAAAAAGTGATCATGACCTACAAGACTTCTAAAAATAATAAAATAAAATACAAATAACTAGAGAAAAAAGAATTTAAAAAAGAACTAGAAAAACAAAAAAAATAAAAATAGAAATGCGGTCAAATCCACATTAAACGATCCCAAGTCTTCTTTTAGGAAAGTTACAGAGTCCGCTTCACCTTATTCTTTATCATCTTCGCCAATAGAGCTTCGAAATCCTTTCCGTCAAGGTGGGTCCTTCATTCTTCATATCGTAAGAAATTCTGTTGATTTTATCTGATGAAATAAATGTGTGAAATAGAGGTCGGAGATTTGGAGGAGCTAATGAGGTGATGTCGAGTTTCTTGAGCTCGATGGTGGATAACTACTAGTGTAAGAAAATCCTTGGGTAGATGATGCCTAAGTAGCCTCAAGCTTTCACACAGGTGCTACATAATTTGTCCCTAGAAGGGAGAATTTCTTCTTGCTTTGCATTTGTCAATACCATCTACTACCAATAGGTAAACTAGACATGCTCTCTCACTAATTGAAAAACTAAATTGTTGATCTAATCCTATCATGATTTTCGCTGTCTTATTCTGATGAGTTGAATTTCAAAGAAATTGATACCACCATCTAGGAAGATGCATTTGATATCATGATTAACTCACACTCGAAATAGATTGCTGTGTACCATTGTTTAAAAAATTATTGTTGTTGTATTTATTTTGCTCCTTATCATGTTGTCTGAGTAGCTGATTGTTAACGATAACCTTAGTCTTGTTCTCTTGTTCTAATAGGTGTAAACTTGAGATTAGGAATTTGTACCTTGTCCATTTTTAAGAGGGTTTTTCCCTTTCCTGGCCACTGCTGATTATTGTTAAATTTTGTTGTACCTACAAAATTAAATGAGTAGTTAGTAAAAAAATCTGCCACCATATTTTCCTCCCTCATAATATGTGTCACATGAGTTTCTTTTCTATCCCTTAGCTTGTTAATAGATAGTAGATCACTTCTGATGCTCTAGGGTGAGACCTATTCTCCGATAATAACCTTCTTTAGGACTAAAGAGTCGGTCTCAATAATTAGAGGGAATAGATCATGAAAACTACAATAATCTAGACCCTCTTTTATAGCATTTGTTTCTGCATTGATGTTGACAGTATCCTCAATAACCTTAGACCTTACAGAGATAAAATCTCCACCTTCATTCCTTAGGTACAAAACAATTGAGTTTGGTTCCGAATTTTCTTTTAATGCTCCATCTAAATTGCATTTAAATCATCCCGATGGGGGGTTTAGATCAGACAATCTGGACACATTTGATCCTCAGACTATAACTTTCTAGGCACCTAATCATATGTTCTCAAGACCTTGGGATGTTTTGTAGCCAAAAAAATCTACTTCTTGCAAACATATAGAGATTTTCGTTAATTTCATGAGCAACTCTCCCTCTAGTCATATTCCCCTATTAATAAGAGTGTTTCTTCATTTTCATATTTCCCACAAAATAAAAATTGGGGCAGCCTGAAACATAGACTTTATCTTACGTTTACAATCTTCTTTCCACCATTTAGATATTATTTGATTGATTTGCAAAAATGGTCTATTATACCTACAATACTATCATAATGAGCCCATATACCCTTAGCAAATTGACCCGAAAGGAACAAATGATTATGGTTTCTAGCTGAAGTGCATCACAATAACATCTAAAAACCATGCCTATGCCACACCTAACCATTACCTCGTCAACTTGTAACTTTTGTTTCCACAACCTTCATAGGAAGAATGAAACTTTGAATGGAATTGTCACGCCCCGAGCTACCCCCGAGACGCGGACATGGGACCTAGGATCACAAGTGATCCCAAGCTAACCCTGCTGGCATGATCATAAGCATACTAAAGATATTAAACTGATGCGGAAGCTAAATCATAAATAAATCTGAAAAGATGGGGAATACCCATATACTATAACTGAGATATATCAAATCTGAGAGTTTAATACAAAAGAAATATCAAACTCAAAACACTAAGCTGAATCTAACTATGTCTGAAATAAGCCTCTAAACTGACTAGAAATGTTGGGACATGCCCCAACTAGATCTAGCAAAACTGAAACTAAAGACTAAAAGCGATAAAGATAAACATGTCACTAGTCCTCGAAGAATGAGGACTCACCACTGATGCCGCTGAACTGAAGATCGAGAACCGATCTAAGCGTGATCTAGAAGCTGAGAACCTGAACCTACATCACGAGAAGATGTAGCGCACGTGTGCGTCAGTACTTGAGAGGTACTGAGCATGCAGGATAGAGTAAAGCTGAAATAACATATAACTGAACAAAGCAATAAAGCAATGAAATCATCTTAACATGATATAGATATTGAAATACTGAATACTGAGCTAACTGATGCAATGACCAAATTTATAACATGCTGAGACTGAATATTGACTGTACTGAAATATGGTCAATGCAAAAGAGTCTGACTGAACTGTGGGAGCTACTAAAAACCGACATAAAACCACATGAGCTAAATGTGGAGTCCGATGTATACGCCCCATCGAGAGGACCCAATATACCCTGCCAGAGGTATAGAGGCATGTTGACGTGATCACTAAACTGATGTTGCCCACAAAGAGGACTTACACCTACGTGGCTCGTAGTTCTGGGACTATATGGGTACGCTGAACCCTAGTCCAACTCGGTATTATGCTACTCCCAATGAATTAAATGGTTAACTGGTTATGACTGAATTTTTGTAAATACTGGATAGCTCGAAACTGAACATGCAAACTGAGAATGCAACAATTAATCTGATAATGATGCATTCATAAACTGAGGCATGTAAAACTGAATACTGAAATATCTGACCTAGCATGTGTAATTCAAGAACTAAAGAAATACATAGCTAGGGTTCTGAAATTTATGCGATAAACTGAGCAATAACATGAGAATCTGATTTGGAACATTTAAATAACTAATTCATGATGATCTATTGAAATTCTAGAAACCCTAGGTCTGTTCATAATCATGGAATCAAGAATCTGACTGAATTCTAGGGACCCAATGGGTGAAAGGAACCCACTAGTGAAATCCCACATACCTGGTGACGAATTCCACGGAGAAATCTTTCGATTTCGGGGCTGGAATTGATGGAACCTTGCTGCGTTCTTGAACTAGGGTTCTTGACCTTTTTCTCCTCTCTTGATTCTAATTTTCTAAGTTTTGATTAATGATTTTGACTAAGGTAAGTTCTAGTTATGTTTTTAGGCTTAAACTGATTAAAATCTCATGATTTAGGGTCTAAACGACGTATCTTAGGGGTTAAACGAAAAAGGAAAAGACCAAAAGACCCCTGACTTAACTGCTGTCGGAGTGATCGACGGATTGGACTGACGGGCCGTCATTCAATCGACGGTCCGTAGATTGGGTCCGTCGATCGAGTCAGCCCGATAGGGCTTCACTAAAATAAGCATAATTTTTTACTCGGAGGTCAGAATTTAGCAAACTCGGTGGCGTTGGAAAGATAATTCAATTATCTATCTAACAAAAGGTTATGGGACACATAATTCATTTTTTGCTAAGAGTTATGACCATCTGAAGTTGACCCATCAACAATTTTCATCTAACTGGCTGCTAATCCTCATCTACGGTCAGACCTACGGACCGTGGATCGATTGACGGTCCGTGCTGGTCGACCGTAGTTTGTGTCAGAAGCTGGGTAAGGGAAATCTCGATCCACGGACACAGACCACGGACCGTGGTCTGATCTACAGACCGTGGGTTTGTCCGTGAGTCGGGACTTAGCCAAAATTTCTAACTGAGTTCTGGGGAAGTTTTCTGTCACGAACCACGGACCTGCAGGACGGACCGTGATTCCATCTACGGTCCGTGAATGGTGTCTGTGAGTGCCACCTGTAACACCAGAAATCTGAAATCTCTATTTTTGGATACGGGGTGTCTGATCAAATCCCAAGCACTCTTCACTGTGAATAATCCTGATTTTGTGGCAATCCATCAAGGATGATTCCATATATCTTCAAAACTTACAACCTCTAAATTAGAGTAAATATACTCAACAATATTAGAAGGAATATGTTAAACTAAAGAGATGTTCCAATTCCAATTCTCCTTAGGGAAGTCAAGGTTGTCCATTCTTTCATCAATTTGAATGTTTTGTGGCAATGCTTGATAAAGAGGACCAAGGTTTAGTCCAATTAGCAAATCATAGGCTATTTTTACATATTTTTTTATAACTTAGGGGTATGGAAAGAAGAAAGAGAATTACAATGGAAGAAATGAAACTCTTACCAACAAAATGAAAATTTATATGGTCAACCAACTAAACTGTTGAGATTTTCCAATTTTATTTTTGTATTAAGAAACAATTATTTTTAATTACATGTCAAATGTGGCTAAAATTTGAATTTTGATCCGAAAGTGGCTAGTCCACCTAATATTCTTTTCAAGTTTTCTTCATAACCCTGATTCACTACACCCAAAATATTCCGGTAACAATGGCTACAGCCATGGACTGCAGAAACTGGGACGAAGACATATACAGAGATTCCATTATACTCGAGAGAGAATCTCAATGTCGAACGGTCTTCCGGACTGCATTTGCCCCGAACCCGGACCATAATTCCTATCCGGACCTCATCGTCGGCGCCATTAGCGATGGCTCCATTGCCGCTTACTCTATCTCTTCTTGCCTTGTAAGCTCAATATTACAGTCTATAAAGTAAGAAAGAACGTTAATATAGGGATTGCTCTACAAACTAATTGCTATTATTTGATTCCTTTTTCTTATTGATAGGGATTGAACTCCGCGGGCAAGTGAGTTTCTGTTTTCTCAATGTTTTCGAAGTGTTCTGGTCAGGTTTGGTTTGAATTGATATTTTATTTGGTGACGTTGGTTTAGTTCATTGGTGCCAGTAGCTGAACCTAGTTGGCTGGTGCAAGGACATGATGGACCTGCTTATGATGTTAAATTTTATGGTAACCATGAAGATTCACTGTTATTGAGGTATATTTTCAGAATTTGCGTCTATCTGTACTGATAAAAGCTGTAGGTAAATTTGCACAGATTGGAGATAGTACAACTTCTTTTTTTTTTTGTTTAGAATCAAAATTATGGGAAAATGTTACTTCAAGTATCCAAAATGCAGGTACAAAACTTTTAGCTTGACTAGAGCTCATATGCTATATTGCTTGGACTCTTCAAAATGTCATCGGGTGCGTGTCGGATTCTCCAAAAGTAGTGTCTTTTTGAAGAATCTGACACGGGTGAGGCATCGAAAGTGAAGAGTCTGCGCAACTTAGCTCATATGTTAGGGCAAGTAGAGAAAAGTTGTAAAACTGTTTGATACTGAGGTTTTAGAGAGTTGTAGTTAATGACTGAGCTGTGAAACTTCGTGAACTAATTTTCTTTTTAATCAAGTAAGCAAGAGAGGCAATTATCTTGTGGTACTTATTACATAAAAGTAAATAACTCCTATAAATTTCTCCGGTTAGTGTTATTTATTCTATCGTATGTGCCAATTCTTTGTTAATATATGTAATTCCATGCAGTTGTGGTGATGATGGTCGGATTCGAGGATGGAAGTGGAAAGAAATATTGGGGTCTAAGGAATCGGCACAAGGTACCATCTTTTTTGTGTGTGCAGTAATGAATCCTTGAGTAGTTTGAGATTGAGGCGTAGTTATATTGTTGTTGAATGACAGATTCTAACATCCTATTTTTGAACATTTTAAAATGTTGAGCTCCTTTGCTTGGTTTTGCTTCCAGTTCTAGCATCCAACTCTTTTGCTGTATTGAAACTCATGCAGCTGAGTGATTTCTTCGCCGGACAAACTTGTTATAATGTCCTCACATTATGAAAGGAAGTTCAGGAGGGGAAAGAACAGGGGATGCAATGCATATGCATTCGTGTCTTTCATCAGCTTAACTAATTAGAAGTTAAAAATGTCAATTCAGCAACTTAAGATTTTCAATCTGCCCCTCTTGTAGCAGTTCAGCTGACGTTTTTTTTTTGACGAAGGTAACAACTTATATTAAATCACAAAAAGGGCTGTGAAGCCAGTATTTGCAGGAGTATTAGAAGGCAAAAACTACTATTCTAGGAAGATATCTTCTAGCAAAAAGGAAAACTATAGAGACTCTAGGACTTGAAGTAGAGTCTCAGTGTCTTCTATGTATTCTTGTTTACACCAAAAATGAAATAGCAAAATACAACTAAACTTTATCTTTTGGATTGGGTTGCTTTTGCATTCAAAAAATCTTAAATTTCTTTCCTTCTAAATAGTCCTCCGTATGCATCCTAGGATTATGCTCCATCTTCTTTTCTGAACTTTGGTCCCCCCCTTTTCTGCTCCAGCTAGATAGCATCTCTAGTGAACTCCCTGGCATAGTTCAGCTCAAGCCTGTCATAACCCAAAAAGAATCCCAGAGTTGGGTGGTTACTCTGCAGTACAGGAACAAATGATTATTTGTCTCTGCAGTCCTTCCATATAAAAGACAGATAGAACATAGCTGTAGTTGCCTTCTTTGTTGCTTATCCTGTGTCAAAACCATACAAAACAGGGCACTTTATATGGAATCATAGTCTTCCATCTGTGCTTCCAAGGCCAAAAGTCGCTGATAGTGTTGCCATAATTCAGCTAGTGGTTTGCTGTTTTGACTGAGAATTCACCTGAGTTGTGGTTTTTTCCACCATAATACGTCTCTGAGGAGGGTGGTTCCAGTAAATTGAGCAAGTGTGTCGTAGAATTCTGCAAATCCACCAATCTCCTATAGCTAAAATTCCAGCCATGATTACTCCAGACTTCACTGATATTGGCTCTTTGCTACTGATTCAGGAACCTCCATGAAGAGAAATTTTAAGGAGCCGATTCAAGCCAGTTATTCTTCCAAAAGGATAGTTTTTCCCCATTTCTAACTTTGTTCTATAATTGAAAGATTGGAATAGGTTCCTAATAGTCCTTCAGATACTGACCCCATAAATTGTGCTCAGCACCTTTGTCTTCCATGATTCATATTCTCCATACTTGCCTTCAATAGCATACTTCCATAAAGAATAATCTTTATTAGAGTATCTCCATAGACCATAACCACTTCATGAGTAGGCTTTGGTTCTGCTTTCTGAGTTTTTTTTTTGCCTAGGCTCCTTGTGTTTTAACAGTCTTCCATTTGATAAGGTTGTAGCCCCTCTTCTCCTTGTTTCCCTGCCACAAGAAACTTCTTCTAAGTGCATCAATTCTCTTCTCAAATTTCAACCTTTGGGGGGATTAGAAATAATGACATCATGTATGTGAGACTTAACCTTTGAAAAGATAAAAAAATACTCCCAGGCACAGCTCCCAAGGGGAACCTGTCCTAGGTTCTCTCTCTTACTTCGTTTGATCCTTTTCCGGCAACTCCTATCGGAATTAGTTTTTTTTACCATGGGGGACAAAATTATTTACTTTGCGGTGGAATTTTAATCATACGATCTCTTAAGTATGGGTGACAGGGTGTGCCTTTTCATTTCCAGTGATAAGTCTTTTGAAATAAATGATATCAGTGAAGGTTCTTTTAGGTGGTTCTTGTTCAAGGAGTTCAGTAGTCGGTTTGTCAGTAAGATTAAGATTGACGAAGTCATTTTAAGATGGGTATGCAGTGTTATGAGATTAGCTTCCAAAGGTGTTGGGGACCTTTATAGAAGATGGGGCAGGCTTAAGGAGGGGGATCTGTTCAGAGTTTATCAGAACTTCAACTCTTATGGGAGATTTCTTCGAGTAGAAACATTGAGGGGCCAAAGAAAATCAGCTATTATCATCCCGGAGATGGATTACAATGTAGGGTGGAGTGATTTAGCCGACAAAATTATCAGATCTTTGGGTGAGCCAGTTAACCCAGTTCTCCGGAAGTTTGTCACCCCAGGGAAACCTTTCATGGATGCTGCAAATATCCAGAAATGGCCAGTCATGAGCTCTCAGTCTCATTCTGAATTGGAGAATCTACAGGAATACTTGCAGTGTTGCTTAGTTGGAACCTTCAATGACCCTTTCAGCTCGAGTCCAAATCCAACAGTCATCCATCAGTGGTTCCTGAAAAGGTGGAAGATGACGGCAGGGTTGCGTGTCTTACAGCTCACACATAACCAGATGATGTTCGAGTTTCCATCTAGGCAAGAAGCGGAGAGGATAATAATGGGGGAATGGTTTTGGAATGGGAGAAGATTATCACTTGAGTGGTGGTCTCCAGAATCAGGGACAGATAACTCTAAAAAAGAATTAGTAGCAAATCAGAGGTGGATTAGGGCTTTTGGCATCCCGCTTCACGCATGGTCGGAAAAGTCGCTGAAATTTATCGGGGACTGTTGTGGTGGTTATATCGGTGCAGATGAGGACACAAAGAAGAGAAATCATATTCTCTGGGCTCGGATTTGTATTCCAGCAGTAGCACGAGAACCTCCACACAAAATTGATTTGAGAGTAGGCGGCAAAATTTATGAAATATCCATTATTGCTGATGCCTTCTCGAAAATCTCAGTTGCCGGTGATTCTGATGAACAGGGTTTTAACCAGCGGTCCAAACAAGTTTGTGTCTCGAAAACTGAGCAGTCTATCAATTCAAATTTGAAATCTGCTGATGTCCCTAGGGTTGGGCCCAAAAAACCTAAGACAACCTTGGGCCAACTTAAAGCAAAGGCCTAATTGCAGCAGAAGACTCCAGACCAAGTTTATGTTTTTCAGAATGAGCAGCCTATTGATTCAAATCTCAAATCAGCTGAGGACCCTAGGGTTGGGCCTAAAAATTCTAAGACAACTTTGGGCCAACTTAAGGCAAAGGCCCAGTTGCAGCAAAAGACTTCAGACCATCTTTATTATTCAAGGAGGAAAAAGGGGAACTTGCATCTCAATAAAAAGAAGGAGATATTAAAGGAGTGGAAGACTATTAGGCCAGCCCAAGCCCAATCTATAGTGGCAGAGACACAAAAACTTTTCGAACGACAGTCGAATGCTATGTTGTCTCAAAAGCCATTGTTGGCTCCCCTAACGCAAACTGATTCTCTTGATGAGTGGGAGGGAGACGCAGACGACGAAGCCGAATGCATGCGACCTCTATCTCTTCTCTCTCTTCCTCCTATCCACTCTGTTTTCTCTATTGGGTATTCTCAAGATTCAGGTTTCTCTTCCCCAATTAGTAGCGACACTTTGTCACTACCCTGGTCTGGTGACAGCTTGGTGGAACAAGTTATTTCACACCCAACAGTTATCGAAACCTCCCATTGGACCAAGATGGTGATGACTAAAGCTTGTAAAGCCTTTGGGGTCAATTCAGTGGGGTTTGAGCACGAAATCTTCGATATGATACTGCGAATGGAACAAAAGAGGAAGTTATAGTTGCAGAAATCAAAGGGGAAAGAGCAACAGAAGAAAAGATCAAAGGAAAAGGGTGAGATTGTGGCCAAGAAGTTGCAGTGCACAATTAATTATGAGAATGGAGAAGGGTCAAGTAGGGGCAGGTTCCACAAGGCTTTCTCGGAATGAAAGCAAAAATTATCAGTTGGAATATAAGGGGGCTTAATGATATAAGCAAAAGAAGCACCATCAAGCTACTTATTCAAAAATGGAAGCCTGACATCTTGTGTTTACAGGAAACAAAAACAGAGTGTTGTTCTGTGGCAATAGCAAGACATATTTGGGGATCAAGATGGGTCGAATGGGTTGAATTGAAAGCAAGTGGTACCAGGGGTGGCATTATTATTTTGTGGGACAAAAGACAATGGAAATGCTTAGACTCTTACCAAGGGCGGCATACTCTTTCGGCCATGTGGGAGGGTTTGCAGGTGGACTTCAGATTCTGTTTCTCTGGGGTGTATGGACCTCACTCAACTCCAGAAAGGTTTGACCTATGGGATGAGTTGGCTGCTGTCAGAGGCATTTGGGATGGATGTTGGGTCATAGGTGGTGACTTTAATGTATGTAGATATGAACATGAGAGGTACAATTGTATAAGGAGATCCCAGGACATGAAAGACTTCTCTGAATTTATTCAAGACATGGGTCTTATTGATCTCCCCTTGCATGGTGCAACTTATACATGGACAAGGGGAGAGGATTTTCTGCAGGCTTCCAGAATTGATAGGTTCTTAATTTCCGCTGAATAGAATGAATTCTTTGGAGTTGTGAAGCAGGTGGCCCTGCCAAGGGTTCTCTCCGACCACAGTCCCTTAGCCCTAGAGAGTGGCGATTGGACTTCTGATCCTTCCTACTTCAAATTCGAGAACATGTGGCTGCAGCATGAAGGTTTTCATGAGATGGTCAAAAATTGGTGGCAAGGTTATATAGTAAATGGCTCTCCAGACTTTATACTCTCCCAGAAATTAAAATTTTTGAAGAAAGACCTTGTTACTTGGAACAAGGAGGTCTTTGGTAAGCTAAATTCCAGAATCAGTAAAGCCATGGATGATCTTCTGCTGACAGAACAAGCAACTGAAGGAAGGGTTCGGTCTCAAGTTGAAAAGAACAAAATATTGCAATTACAACTAGAGATTCAACAATTAGCAAAGGCAGAGGAAACCTCTTGGAGACAAAAATCGCGGTGTCTATGGTTAAAAGAGGGGGATAGGAATACAAAATATTTTCAAAGAATAGC